TTCTCTCCCTCCACCTACTTCACCACAGCACAGAGGAGTAGTCCCAGTTCTGTGCTGTCATCAGGCCAGCTGTCACCATTAAAATCAGCTTGCAGGCCACACTGGATCACTGGTCATTCACACTTAAGTGATAATAGGACCTAAGCAATACTCTCTGTCAGACTCACCATTACTTAATATCAAGAGAACAAGGAGGTAGGGAAAAGATAAGGATAGATGTGCTCTTTTTATGACGGGCTTCGTTGAACTGAATGTGAAATAACTGGTCTGTGTCTGTAAGATTCCTTACTACTTTAAAGATAACAGCTTACAGCAAAGAAAAAGAACAGGAATTGTGTAGCTAAATCTGGCACAAGTTTGTTCTTTTATTTCCTAAGAAAATGAGAGTGAATGCAGATTTCAGTCTCTTTTTTTTTTTACATCTATTTCTACATAAATTAGCAATGAAGAGGATCTAAGGCCATCTAATATCCGAGTACTTGATTTGCAAACTTTGTTGTAGTATTATAGTTTAATGTATATCCATGTTTGTACAAGACATTGTTTTACTATTCCTCAAATATTTTCAAATATTTTCCAAAAATTCTGTTCTGTAAAATATATTATCTTTCAAAAACTTTTATGTATTTGAGAAAAAAAAAAAAAGGCACTTTCACCTAAATTCTGTACTTGTTCTGCTTCTGAGCAGAAAAATAAGTGTGATAAATCTAACTGAATGCTAAACTGAAAATAGCCATAGAGTAACCAGCCTCCTGCTGGGAAAGCAGATCTAGACTCTTTTGCTCTCAGCAGACCTGTTTCTGGCATAAACCACAGTAATTTGCAATTTGGGTAGAAGGCAGACTGTACAGACTTGTTTATTTGGAAAAAAAACTTTCCAAAATTCTACATTTGGGGGTTTTGGTAAATAAGTTCTGTGCATTCTGCCTATTTTGTATACAATTGACACTGACAGTATATTCATGTTTATCATGCATTGGGCAGACATGAACGAACTGAGCTTCATAATGCTCTTGTGAAGTTAGTATTGCCTTTGTTTTGCAAAGGGACGATTTGCAGTGGTGGATTTTTGTTTGTTTGTTGGTTTTAAGAAAGAAAAAAAAGTGTCATGTACTACTACTTTGAATTCATGCTGTCTGCAGAGGGGATATCAGAGGTGAGTTAGCTCTGGAGAATACAACCAGGAAAATAGAAATAAGTAATAATTTTTCAGTTTGGGGTTGGGCTAGATTTGTCTTGTCCCACAAAGTATTCAAGTTGGAAGGAAGGATTGCCACTAACGATGGAATACTATTCTTGAAGGGCACCCATGCAACATCCTACTTGCACCATGTAAACTTTTAAAGGCTGTCCATCTCCTGTTGTTCACAGATTATAGGCAGGAAAGCCAGGAAATAGTGTTTTATCCTCTGTTGCTCTTGGTTCATCAGTTTTACAAGTGCAGGGGGAGAGTCTTACTATAGTCATGCTTTGAGCTTGAGACATACTTTGCAGAGAATGCAGGCCACACCTGCCCTTCCCATGACACTTGTAATGTTTGAAAGGTCTCACTAGCCTGAACACTGGAGAGGGCAATGGCTGCCTTACACAGTGGATGACTTGAGCATCTCATATTGAGTGTGTGGTTTTGTGTTACGGGAGGGATGTAGAAACTGATACATGAGTCGGATGATGGTGCGGCATCTGTGGTACGTGTTGAAGAAAAAAAGCAGAGGACTGTGATTATGATGGCACAGAAGTTTTCTCACTTGTTTTTGTGGTGAGGAGTGTATGTGTACCCAAAGCCTGAGTGCAGCTTAGCACAGATAATGTGACTTTTGATACCATGGGTGTTTGATGGTAAACATGCCAGAGCCCCTATACTGAATATGAGCGAAGGTTCTGCTGACCCTCTGTCCTATCTTTGGCAGCAGCCCACAGCAGATGTACTGATAATTTCCCAGTGTCTTCTCCCACCTTCTAAGGATCTGCACTTCAGGGGCTTTCTGGGCTACTGGTTTCACTGCTTCAGATTTTTTGGCTGTACTGGACTGGTGGACCACCTTGACTTCATATAGACCTTTGATCTTCTTTTTGAAAGTGTCCAGTGAAATGTGGCCTGATTCCTATGTGGAGACTTAAGGTAGTCTTGAAGTATAAATAATAATCCACTGGCATCCCAATAATGTTCTCTTTGCATGACATTGAATATATGGGGTAGAATTTGCTTTGATATTGTGCCTGGGAAAGACACAAAGGATGCAAGATCGTGGTTGCTAGATGGATGTCTGAGGAATGCATACAAATAAGTAAGTTTTCAGGTCAGACTTCTTTATTGGGATTCTACAGAAAATAGTCCAAGCTATTCATTTTTTGCCAGAGATTTGAACTAATTGGTGCAGCTCTAAAAGGGAGGGAGATGAGCAGCCAAGAGAGGGAAGAGAAGGGAGGCTGGCTGGTCCAAATAGAGAGAAGATCTGTGGTAGACATCCTCTGTTGACATAGTTTCTTAAAGTCTTACTCTGTCTGAGTGTCTGGCTGAGATTTTTTCACACTGACCTTACCTTATTCTAAGTGTAAGTCCTTGCTGGACTGGAAATGCAATTTGGTGCTCAAAGCAGTGAATTATCTTAAAGGATATTTTCTTTTCCATTTGTCCCCCTTTTGGTGTCCACTGTACTGTTACTCTGGTTTTCACTTGTTCTCTTCACTTAACGCTGCCCCTGTAGTTCTTTCCTTGAAGTGACATGAAATGATTATGACAGCATTACTTTATAACAGCAAATTTTGAGAGACTGCCTTTATTGGTATGGGTCAGTTGAGAACTAAAAAAACCGCATCTTGGTCATGAGCTGCAGAAGTATGTGGCAAGGTAAGATAGATGCTGTACCAGTATAACTCTGACCTCGAAGCAGCTCTTGCCTAAAGGTTAGGATTAGGCAGCAGTTGCTTCATGCTTTCAGGTCTGTTATGTGAGTTTGGAGCAACCTGATTGAAATCTTAAGGTGAGAAGCTGTGCAATTGCGGTACATCCTGCTACTTCAAGGCTCATGGGTTCTCTTTTGAAGTGTTGTATTTTTAAACTCTTTTATTTCTAAAGCTTTCACATTTGCAGACTGTGTTCTAAAACAAAGGTCGGGATATTGTATAGCACTGGGACAAAGTCCTCAGAGTAAACCAGTGCACTGTGTTTCCATTTTAACATATTGTAGAAATTACATGCCTGCAATAAATGTTGCAGCAGCAGAATCAAGATCATAGATGGCAGAAGGGTAAAAAAAAAAAAAATAAAATTGACACTATCCTGGTATGGAAACAAAGAGTTTATTCACAGCTTGGTACTGCTTTTGGTAGAAAGGACATCTCAGCCTGTCTGCACTGTGGTTGCTTTGGTTTGGATTCTTTTTTTCTTAATGACTCATGACACTCTTTCCTGACCTAATTACAACTCACACAGCTGGGCAGGGTGCCAGCATAGCCAAAAGGGGGAACTGCATGTGGCCTGAAGCATTTGCTGCCCTGTGCAGAGAGGAGTGGAACAGGAGCACCTCTCACTACGCTCTGCTGGCAAAGCCTGCCTTTCAGCTGTGTGTTGGGATTGCAGCTTTACTTGCTACAGGGACGTGGAAGCCCAGCACGTTCCTTCCTAGTTTTGTTTTTAAGGGTGTTGCACCATTTCACTATGGGAGAAACGAGAGATTGCGTAGTAAGGAAAGGATTGCCTAAGCAGCTGTTTACCAAGCAGAAAAAGGTGATGTGGACACAATGGTGCCGATAAGGGTCAGGTACCACTGAGCTGCAGTGATCTGGCAAGAAGCACTGAGTGTTAATGGGCAGAAAAGGAACATCCAGAGTAAGCATGGTTATTGCAAGAATGGTTTGAAACAGGTTAAAACTGGTATTTCAAAGCTGTAACGCAAAGGACTTTCAGCCTTTGGGACAGACCCAATGCTGCCTTCACCATAGGCAGCCCATAGCTGTATAAAGCCCTCCCTCTGCTCCTCTCCGACATCCCTTCTTTCTTCTCCCTACTCCAGTCTCCACCCCTGTTCTGCTACTCTCTGCAACAGCTTTCGTGTACTTTCTGCCCCTGTCTGCACTGCCCTCTGCACACCTTTTTGCCTCCCACAGGGAAGTGAAAAGGCCAGAGGTGGAAAGGAGGGACTGCAGGAACAAGGAAGGCAAACAACTAAGGAGTTTCATGGCAAGGGAACCAGGGTGCTGAGGGGATGCCAGGAAAAGCAGACTGGAAAGATGTCATGGTGCAAAGAATGTGTGGGAATGAGGGGTTGAGAGTTTGCGTCTAAGGAAACACTGCTCAGTGTTAGAGCCCGTGGGTGGTATGATGTCCCTTGTGTTGACAGGGGGTCTAGTCATCTGGCAACATGAGCTCTGTTATCAGAAGTAAGATACAAAGAAGTGTATGGGAGATTCGGACCATGAACCTGATAGTAGATGGAAGGCAGATGAAAATGGTGCTTTATTACAGAAATTTTAGATGAAAGCTAAAGGAGTGTGCATGGAGACCTTCTCCCAAGTGGAAAAATATTAAAAAAACCCCAACCACACATGAAACCCAGCATGAAGATTGAAACATGTATGTCTTTAATCCAGGAATTCTCATTAAATGAATGACCTGAACTAAAATTTGTAATATCTTTGAAACAAAACTCATACAGTCTTTGGTTAACAAACACCTTTCATGGAAAACCAGCAGGCCAGAGGTTTGGTGAATGTCTTCAGCCTCTCCAGAGCCATGAAGTCCAAGTTAGCATTGTCATGAAGAACTAAGTTTTATCTCATTGTTTCTTATACCTTTTTAAGATCTTCTGCACAGTTAACTGAATTACCAGCTTTGTCTCAGAATCAGCTCTGACCAGGAAAAGCATGAAATGCTGAAGTATCATGATTAAGATGTCTTTACTAATGGGATTGTATTTCCTCTTTCATGCGAGCTACCTATCTCAGTATTTACAAAAAAAAAAAAAGCTGTAAATAGTTGCCAGATTTTCTAGGCAGTTTTATAGCTGGTACATGCTTGTTGCATCTGCATTATTGGAGGCAGTAAAAGTTTTAGAGCCTTCTTCTTCAGTGGTTTGCCACTGTTTAACCATAACTTGCCGTTTGACGCATCTTGAATTTTTAATAATTTTCTGTAAGTTCCTCCTGAATTTCACCCCCATGAAGAAATACAGAACAGGATTAAGACAGCCGTGGAAATAAGCAAGAGCTTCTGTTATAATGATTGCATATTCAAAGCTGCTGTTCAGGTTAAAGCTCCAGTCTATGATCTTTATCAGTCTCAAGAAAGTGTAGGGTGACTGAGTAAGAATAAATATGGCAACTACAGAAAATATTTTCTTTAGAGATTTGTTCTTTTGAAAACTCCTGGCATGCAGTAAGGTTCTAATAATTAGTGAGTAGCAGATGATCATGGCTAGCATGGGAATAAAATAGCCAAGGGTCACTTGGATCACTTCAAGAACCATTTCTGTGTGATGGTTTGGGTATTCTTCCTGGCATATTGTCTTATCAATACTAAACACCTCACTAAAAATAAACTGTGGTGCAGCAAATGCTAGTGAGATCACCCAGATCAAGACACAGATTAATTTGCCCCATGTCATTCGTTTGGTTTGACACATACGTGCTTTGGTTGCAAAAGTAATAGCAATAAGCCGGTCAAAGGTGATAGACGTTAGAGTTAGCATTGAAGTGTACAAGTTCAGAGTATACAAGCCTCGTATAATACGACATGCCACGGTGCCAAAAGTCCACTCCTGAGCAGCAGAATATGCCCAGAATGGCAGTGTCCAAAGGAAGACCCAGTCAGCTATGGCCAAGTTCAGCAAAAATATATCTGTCAGCATCTTCCGTTTCTCATAGAAAGCTAGTATGACAAAGACAAGTGCATTTCCTGCTAGCCCAAGGATGAAAACAGCCGAATACATACAGGGCAGGAAGACTCTTGTAAATGTATGAAAATTCTCACTTCCATTTTCGTTGGGATCAATGATGGAGAAGTTATAATAAAAGTTGGCAGTATCTGTAGTTGCCATGTTGCCTTCTTTTTAAAGGCAGCCTGTAAGGAGACATGTTGAGATTTTTTTACTCAGCAAATAATTAAATCCTAATGCATCCAGGAGACAGACAAAATCTTAAGTGCTAACAGATAAAAGTTGTAGTAAAGCATCCATGACAGACAAAAGCAAATATACTCATTTGCTGAAGAGGATTGTCTTGACAGTCAAGACCCAAACACAACAGCTGGTGGATTTAAATACATCATCTGTTACCAGATTTATACCGATGGGGACTCAAAACAATAAACAAGACAATTACAAAGACACTTCTGAAAGCAGAATATGGATAAAGCTTTCAAATACATCACTGGTTTAGTGTTTGGATCGAGGGTTTCTGGGGAAACCCATGAGAGAAACAGAATTTGTTTTGCCAAATTCAGCCTTTAAGCTCAGGTTGCAGGCTCTAAGCATCAGAGTTGTTTGGCTTGGGTGGGACCTGTCTCAAAGTAGGGTTTGAGTCTCAGTGAGCGAGCACTTTAGAGCTTGTGGTTCAGTTCAGCCTTAGCTCATTGTTTAGATGTTAGTCACATCATCAGATGGCGGCACTTCTTCCTTTCCCCTTCTCAAGTGACTTACTGGAAACATGGTGGATTTTCATTAATGTCTCTTCCACGTTTGATTTTGGTTAATCTGTTTCAAGCATTTGTATTGCTGTCAGAGAGAGGAGTGACCACTTCTCTGCCAACCCCCCTCCATCACAACCCCCTCAAGAGCTGCTGCAGTATTGAAGTGTCAGCTCTCCTTGGCAAGGGTCTGTTTTCTGTAAGGGCTATGCCAGCACATAAGAGTAATGGCCATAAGAGTAATAACCAGATTTGCAAGCTGTTTACCTTGTAAACAAAATCTTTTGTGAGACAGGTTAATGGGGTTTTCAAAGATCTAGCCTAAAGTTAAATGTCCTCTCTCTTAAGCTATAAAGAACATGTTTCTGTGAGACTAATACCATTACAAGGTATTACTCAGCCTAAGATTAGCAGAATTTGCCTCTGAATCATTTAGATTGGCTGAAAGGCCTCGCCTGTGTGAGTTATAATGTACAGCAGACTGAACATTAACAGAAAAAGTAGTTTCTGCAGGGCCAAGAAGCAGAGCAGGTGCAGTCTGTTACTCACCAGATAAGTACTATAAGACTGTGTGCCCCTTTGAAAAGTTACTGGCTCCTTATAAAATAGTTTAGTTTTCAATTCAGATGGAGGCCAAGTGTAGCATGAAGATAACAAGCAAAAGTAAGCTAGGCTCAACAACATCAAGGAAAAGTATACTGAAACAAATGGAAGCACTGTGTTTTATTTTACATACCCTTTGCAACAGCAGTCAGCTGACGTTTCTTGCCTCTTTCTTGTAAAGGAAAAGTGTTTTCCTCTAAGCTGAAACAAATTACTAGGTACTCAGTTATGTAGTTTGACAACATAACATTACATTAGTAGCCTTACTAAAATAGTATAGTTCTTTCTGGTTGCCAAGCTTACTTGAGATGAGCCTTTAGGAGAGTCTTACTGACTCTTTAAAAGAATTTTTAATACCCGCTTTTAATCCAGAATAGTTTTTTGCCATAATAAGATACAGCATTCACTCTCTGGACAGACCAAAATATTTTAAAATTTAACTAATTTTTTTCCTATTACATTAATGTTCTTTATAGGAACTTTCAAATTCAGGCAGTAATACCCTAATTTGGTTTTGGTGAAAGCAGGTGGGAGTTTTACTGTGGATTTCATGTGGAAGCCAGGCTAGGATAATTGTTGAACTCCCACTGTGAAGGATTTTCTTCTGTACAAATAGCAGGCACTGGCTTCTGATATTGTTGTCTCCCCCACATGCTGACATGAGCAGATCTGCATATCGACGGAGAACAGGATGCTGCAGAAGAGATCTTTCTGAGTTAAAAAAGTTTAATATGTCATGTGCTTTATATTTCTCAGTTAGCTGGGCTCCTAAACTCTGAATTTATGGATCGTGTTTTAGGAAAGAGATGAGGTGACTGACACCATCAAACAGATGGCAAAGGATTAATGGGAGTCCTTGAAAGTGACCTTTCAACTGATGCTCTAGAAATTTATTTTCTTGTTACATTCTTGGGATCTTAAAGGTCTTAAGTCTTCTTTCTTTTCCTTCCTTCTCTTGTCTGAATATAGTCATTTAAGTTCCTTCTGGGTTTGACAGCAGGAGAAATGAGTCTTAAATGCCTGACTCATTATCAACTCCTCTGCTGAAAAAAAAAAAATCCTACATGCATAAAATAGGTTAACCTTGCAGAACTGTACACTCATTTTTGAGGCAAAGTCAGGTGTGGCAATTCCTAGCCCAAATGTGTTTGGGTTTTTGGGTTGGTTTGGGGTTTTGTTTGGTTTTTTTGGTTTTTTTGCTGGAGAGCAATAAGGAGCTGAGAGAGGCGCTAAAGCTGAAAACTTTTTAATCTCAATTGTTGCATTCCAGACAAGCTGAAGTTACATCTCAGAGTTGTTCAAGAAGGCTCTCTTAAAAGCTGATCCTGTATTATAAGGCTGAACAGTTTCTGGATCAGCTGACCACCCTTGCCAAATATTCTCAATCTTTGCTACTGAAAATGTGCCACAAGTGTGTGTAACATGGTATGGAAGTTAAAAACGTAGGGGGAGACCCTTATCTTCTGCAGACCAGCGTCTCCAGTCCACTAAAATACAGATCAATAAGCTTTTTTCCTTCCTCCCCTCCCCCCCACCAGTGGATGGTAAATTTTTTTAAGAGTCCAGCGATTTCCTTTAAAAAGGTTTTCATTTATTCATGATGCATTGTAATTATGTTACCTGATATTTTTCTAGCTAGAAGCTCTTAAAGTATCCTGCTTGTTACTCACACACCTAAGTTAGAGTCCAGATTGTATGTTGTCTCAAACGTCAGTGCTGTTACACCTAGTCAGACTGTTCATGGAGTTATTCTAGCTTTCCTCAAAGGAAAGAACAGTAGTAATCCTTCTACCTGAAGTAACATAGTGGGAAAGCATTTTGTTGGGGAGGGATGGAGTGGGAAGAAGATTCCCTGGTCAGGAGACAGCAAGCAGGTGAGTTTATTTGCAGGGAAGTGTTGTTACAGTTTGTATGGACTGAGTCTAGGTTCTAAAAAGGTTTAGAAGTCTAACAAGCTTAAATTGGATAGGAACAACATCACAGGTAGAAAAGTGAGCTAAAGAGAGCCATGCAGTGTCCAGTGTGTTAATACAGGATTTGCTTTGAGGTCTGGTTCTCTTACAGTTAACTCTCAAACTGATGAAATGGAAATGCAAGCAAGTAATGGAGAGTCAGAACATGCTATTCTGGTTTGCCCCACTATGCATAGATAGGTAGTTGTCCTGTCACCAGAAGAAGGCTGCTTATCATTTCTACCACTCTGGGAACTGGGTGTCCCAGGAGCTGGTAGTCTCAGTGTTACAGGGTTTTTTTCCCCATTTGGTCTCCATGGTCTAATTTCTGTTGTGCTGATCAGCTATCCTGCTTTAGTAGCTGCACCTGAAAAGCAGGGTATAAAAAGCAGTAATAATGATCTTGCCATTGGTTCATTTCTGTTCTCAGTCTTCCAAACAGAAAATCCAATATATATCAATCTTTTTTAAATAAATCTAAATAAAAGTAATTTTAACATATAATAATAAACAGTATAATTTGCCATCACAATAGATACAGACTATAAACAGAAAAATGGCAAATAATGCTCATCAACATCATGTGATATGCCTTACTTAGAAATAAACGTTACAAAAGGGTTTTGAGATTGTAATCAGAAAAGGTGAAATTATCTCATATATATATTTGTTAGAAGAGATGAGAGGTTTTCAAGCACATATCAGTTGGAAAAACAGATTCTGGAGCATAAATGGAACGGAGATAATTAACATATACCTTCTTAGTTCCAGATATCCAAAAAATTTGTCTAAAGGTCTTTTTCAAAAACTAGCAAGTGTAAACCAAAGAGCTACTGCAATAACAAGGCATTGGAAAAGATTTAATAACAAAACTAGAATGCAAAATCAGTATCTTCAACAGTCTGAATGAAACCCCATACTTTCTCTTAAATTTTGCATATCATGATGGAGGATATCTATATACTAACAAAATCTTTCAAGTTTGAATATTTCTGAATGTTAAAGCTTCTTTTCTTTGTTATTGTTTTTTTGAACTGTCTACCTATTCACCTGAAGTCAAGAAAATATTCACTTACTAGACGATGTCACAGACGATGGGGGAACGCAGTCATCTTATCTTTAAAAGGAAATACAAAAGCAGCAGTTTGCTTTATTTATCAGTGCTGAAGCTTCTGCCACTGCCTCACAGCTTTCGTAGTTGTTGCTGACCAAAGCAACATGATGTGAAGTTACTCCTTTGTTTTGATTCTTGAGTGATACTACTACAGATATGATAGTATGAACAAGCTGTCCTCTCAAGATCCAGTTCAAATTCACTTACATGTGGCCAATTGTCTGAAATGTCCAGAATCAAATTGATTTTTCAAAAATTATTTGCTGAATTAAAACTTAAGCTGTATTTACCACTTACCTTTTTTAACCACTCATATATTTTGTGACAGTACTGGATTTTCCAATTCCTTCTAGTTTTTCTGTTTTTTCTGGGGCAAAAATACTCTTAGTGACAATTTTCTCTCAGGGTTTTTGCCCATCTGAGATGAACTAGAGATGGCTAGAAATATATTGTGTTGGTGACCATGCCCAAGTGAGTTTTTTACCTTTTAAGGCAATCTCAGCCCTAGTTAAAATTAGTACATGTGCTAAATTTTCTTTCAGAGTCAATGGAAGAAGCTGGGAGGGCCTCTATACATTTACAAGGGAGCTGGAGGGAGCCTACCCTGTGCAGGGGTGACTGTTTTCACTTGCAGCAAAGCCGGGGTGGGAATTGACTTACAGCTTAAGGGTACAAGATTTGGGAGAGAAAGAGTTGCGTGGAGGCTCTTGAGAGGGTGCAGGGAAGCAGAGGTGCCTGGGCAAT